CTGCTACTGAACTAAACCACAATTTGGCTTAGTGTGTCATCCAAACTCAGGGCCGTGGTTTATCTCTCACTAGCAAACCAGGTCCATAGGACAAAACTGGGTTACAGCTCACGATTTGTCTGGAGATAGCTAAGCCAGAAGTCCAGATTCAGATTACACATTACAACAAATTGTGGTTTAATGCAATGTGGATGCGGAAGAGGGGCAGTGACCTATTCTCTGCTCATTCATGGTAAGTCATGGTTTGGCTTAGTATTGTGTGTGAACTGGACTTCTGGGCCTGAAGCTGATTATAATTCAGTGCATTCTGAGAGTCTTATCTACTTGTGTTGACTTCCATATATTTAGGCCAGAGGGATTTTGAGCTGGCATCTTTCCTCCCACCCCCGTCGGGGGCTCTCCCCTGAAGCAAGCACACGCTCCTACATTTAAAAAAACCTGTCTCATAATGCTGTTTCTCTGGTGCTGTGGGAGATGGAGGGCAAGAGATGCTTGTTTTTGAGGTTAAAGATCCTCTCTGAGAGCTCTAGAGTGAGAGTGAAAAACCTTCGGAGAAAAATGAGTATCCCCGACCCTCAGCTAATACATTTGTAAAAATTGACAAGTACTGGATGTGCTGCAAGGCACAATAAATATCCTTCCACTTTACTGCCAAATGATGCTGCAGGATAGTAAATAACTAAGTCATATCAGCACACCGCCTATTCTGTCTCCCCTTTATGGATGGAAATTGAGCTGGAGATTGTCGATTTGCTTCACTTTGGGGACAGAGATTTAAATGCGGATACTTTCAAATTCTCCTTGTCCCCGCATCAGATATCAGTATTGCAGCAATGGCAAAGCGCACCCAAACTTGCAACTGGATGGAGGTATTAAAACTGGGCGAAAGAACCTTATGAAGCACCTCACACAACACAGCAGGCACACTAGCAACTGGCATAGCTGTCAACTTACAGATTTGAAAATAAGGGACCAGCAGCCTTGAAAATAAGGGATCAGCAGCCAAAATAAGGGATTTTAGTCAACTAGCAGCCAACTTGAGCCACCACTCAAGTGGTGGTTCCCATAGCGCAGCAACCCGGCAAAGGGGATGCAGCAAGGAAAACCACCGTCACCTCTCCGCTGGGAAGCGCTGAGCAAAGGCGAGTCCCCAGGCAACACGGCCGATTTGATCGGCATAAGGCATGCAAACTCCACCCCCCAGTCGTTCTTAGACTCCTGATTGGGTGAGAAATGCAGCCAAGCACCACAGTTGGAGCCTCCAGCCTCCCTCCTCCCTGGCTGGCAGGGAGGGATGGAGAGGAGCTGCTTCCTTTGAAACTCACGAAATTTAAGGGACATCATCAATAAGGGACAGCAGCAGGACACGGCGCTGGGATAAGGGACTGTCCCACCAAATAAGGGACGCTTGACAGCTATGGCAACTGGTTGAGTATACTGTGATTGCTAAAATGGGAATGGGAAGTGTGTGTGCCTAAAGATATTGTGGTCTCATGCAACCAGTGACTATGACCAAGTCTGCTTAATCCCACGAGTTTAACTCAACGTTGGGCTCTTCAAATTGTTCTGCCTCTGCGAGCAGCTTGCGTGTCAGGATGCTGTTTGCGGCTCCTGGCTGGTTACCCAGGAAAGTATAAAGACAAGGAAAAGTTTCTTACCATCCTTTTTATTTCAATCTTTACAGAGAGAGGCTATAGAACCCAACCTCTTGGATAATGGCATTATCCTGAGTGAGGGATAAAACCGGTAGGGGTTAACACCAACAGGGGGAGCCCCTGAGATGCACATCCCTAGGCGCTCCCTGAGGGGTCACCGCTCGGGAGCGTGCTTTAGGCCCTAGCCTCCATAGGTTTCGGATGAGGCAACGCGCCCCGGAATCCTTTATAGGACCACCCCTAAATATTTGGGGCAGGTGATGGCACTCCCCCCCATCTCATCAGCATAATAATGCCCCTACCAATGCCTAACCGCCAAAACCAAGGTGTTGTGACGTTTTGCTACGAGGTAGGCGAAAAAACCAAATGGGTTTCAAAACAATGCCAATTAGCCAAGTGGAAAAACTACAATTGGAAGTCCTATTTGCAGACTTCCCTGGCTTTTTTCTGGCCCATGTAGGACCAGTCTGGATAGTTAGCCTTGGTGAAGACTTGATGTTTTTATCCCCAAAACAGTTTTTGATTGTATTTCCACTGAAATGAGGCTGCATTTTAATGTTTTAATGTTGTATTTTATTCTTGTTTTTAAGCTGTATTTCAATGAATTGTTTTTATATTTGGTGTTAGCCACCCTGAGCCCAGTCTTGGCTGGGGAGGGTGGGGTATAAATAAATAAATTATTATTATTATTATTATTATTATTATTATTATTATTATTATTATGTCCTTGCTTCCAAGAAAAGAAAGTTCTGAGCTGAAAATGCTTTAGACTAGCTGAATTGAAAGCTAAGGAGCTACTCAAACTAATAAAAACTGAACAAGAGGACAGAGGAACTTCATACCCCCAAAGCAACAATTGCGCCTTACTAGTCACAATGACCATACCCTACCACCAGTGTCTTTGACTACTAGTTGCTGGGACTGACAAGTGGGAGGACTGCAGTTGCACTCAGGTGCTGCTTGTGGGGTTCCCACTGCCATCTGGTTGGCCTTCTCCAAGGAGGCTCTTCTTATTTTCTTGTGGAATTTAAATGGGTGATGGAAAGAGGAGGAAAAGGAGTGGGCAGTATGGTGGAGCATAATTGTTGTGACTTCTAAAGAAAATTAATCAGCTAGCAAGCTGACAGCTGTTCTGCTGCCTTCATTTACATCTCATTTGTAGTGTTTACCTAATATTTGAAGTGCACTTCCAAGATAATTAACCAGGAGTCTGCATTTTGATTTTAGAAAGGGGGAGGGGAGTAACACAGGGGAGTGTGTGCGGATGTTGTGTCTGCCTATCATCTACCTATCTATCATTTATATCTCTATCTATCTATCATCTATCTATCATCTATCTATCTATCATCTATCTATCAATCATCTATCTATCTATCTATCTATCTATCATCTATCATCTATCATCTATCTATCATCTATCTATCTATCTATCTATCTATCTATCATCTATCTATCTATCTGTCTGTCTATCTATCTATCTATCTATCTATCTATCATCTATCTATCTATCATCTATCTATCATCTATCTATCTATCTATCTATCTATCTATCTATCTATCATCTATCTATCTATCTATCTATCTATCTATCATCTATCTATCTATCTCTACCTATCTATCTATCTATCTATCTATCTATATCTATCTATCTATCTATCTATCTATCATCTATCTATCTATCTATCTATCTATCTATCTATCTATCTATCATCTATCTATCTATCATCTATCTATCATCTATCTATCTATCTATCTATCTATCTATCTATCTATCTATCATCTATCTATCATATCTGTCTATCTATGTATCTATCATCTCTATCTCTATCTCTATCTCTATCTCTATCTCTATCTCTATCTCTATCTCTATCTATCTATCATCTATCTATCTATCTATCATCTATCTATCTATCTATCTATCTATCTATCTATCTATCTATCTCTATCTATCATCATCATCTATATCTATCATCTATATCTATCATCTATCATCATCTATCTCATCTATCTATCTATATCTATCTATCTATCATCTATCTATCTATCTATCATCTATCATCTATCTATCTATCTATCATCTATCTATCTATGGTCAGGTGCGCCCTATAGAGTGAAGCTTAAATGAACCAATAGTAGCTGTACCCTCTGGAACCAACAGGCAGTTACTTTACCCTAATGCAAATACAGACAATAATAATAATACAGATATAAAATCCTTTGACTCAATACACAACAGCATTCAACCTGATTTGCTTGCACAAAATTTATGTGGAGGTTAGATGATGCCAACTCTATTTAGCATTCATCCTGATTTGCTTCTGGGTTCCACCATCAGTAACTTACACTATACTTTTTAGTGCATTGCCCTGTCACTCCCCTAACTGCAAATAAGTCCTTTAAAAAGTGGAATTGTTGCACCAGAGTGCTTTAATTCTGCTTTAATTGGGCAAACTGACATGGTCAGCATGCAACTGAATCGCTCCTGCAAAACACTGACCACAGTCCCTTCCTCTCAGAATTGGCCTGCCAATCGTGATTGAAAACTTATCGCTTTTGCCCTCCTGCTTTTGGCTTACGCCAATGACTTCAGGAGCTTGTCTTCACTCTTATTTCTTTCATGACTGAGATTTCCCAAGCAAAAGCATTAGAATAAGTGTTGCAAAATCTGAACTGTTACATAAAAACAAAACACCTTGAAGGAGCTCACTGCCCTTGCTTGTGAATTAACCTACATGCAGGGAGCAGCCTTCACGCCTCACAGTGGGGTGATGTTCCTCCAGCCTCATGAGGAGCTTCTTCACTAGGGCTGGTGAGAGTGGGCCTCGCCCTCCTAGGCCAGGTGGAAAGGGCCTTGTGGGGAGCGGCCTTCACACTCACAGCCAGGCAATTTTATTTCATACCGCACCATATGGCAGCCATTTTTTGCCATCCACCATAGCAGCCATTTTGTGTTTTGCTATGTTCTCATTGGTAGCCAATTGGTGGACTGGCCCATGTAGCACTTTCCCAAAATTAGTCTGGCTCTGACTAAGGCAGCTTCCTTTGTTCTTATCATATGAAATACCCCACTTTGTATATTAATAGGAGCACAGGATGTTCTGCATATATATCCTAAAAGGGGGGGGGGAATCTCATGAGCGATATGTTCAAATGTGTTTTTACACTTGGGGGGCTGCTGCGTCGCTTGTTCCTGGACCTTTTCTTCCTTCCAAATGCCCTGAAGATCCATTGCACACCTTGACTTGCATGAAACCTCCTCTCTCTTATTTGCTCAGTGAACCAGGCGGGGAGAAGGAGGAATGAAGGAAAACAGAAATCCGGCCTGAGAACGGAGGTCCCTGTCAAGAGAATGGCCAAGATCTCCTCAGGTGAGGATGAAAGGGGAGGCAGGGAAAAGCAAAGAGCCCCTGAAAACATCCCCACACTAGGGAAGAACTTGTCGGCCAAACCCCTGCACGGAAGTGTATCTGCAGGAAGACGGTCAGCACTTTCTATTGGATGGGTGTCACTGAGCAGAGTTTTCAATGGAGATGGTGTATCCGGATTAAGTGGGGGAAACAGAACGGGAGAGCATTTGGGTGTGGATGATGTCATGCAGATACAGAACTGGACTTGCGTATTTGACGGGGTGAGCTCCCGTTGCTCGGTCCCTGCTCCTGCCAACCTAGGAGTTCCAAACCACGTCAAAGTGCAAGTAGATAAATAGGTACCGCTCCGGCGGGACGGTAAACGACGTTTCTGTGCACTGCTCTGGTTTCGCCAGAAGCAGCTTAGTCTTGCTGGCCACATGACCCGGAAAAATTGTCTGTGGACCAACGTCAGCTCCCTCGGCCAGTAAAGCCAATGAGTGGCGCAACCCCAGAGCTGTGACTGGACTTAACTGTCAGGGGTCCTTTACCTTTACCTTTTTAAAAGCACTGCACACTGCCATGCGATGTGAAAGTGCTTCATCTTATCAATGGTCACAACTCCTGAAATGAATGGATGGCTCCAATGCTCCATTTGCTGCCTTCCTTCAAACATTAACATTTGTGTATGTTCTAAGATGTTTCAAATAGTCAAAAAGATGACAGCTTTTAATTCCTCTGAATTTGATATCTACTTTAGATTTTTAAAGGCTGGCTCCCAAAGTTATTTCAGGTGAAATAGATGGATTTAGGCCCATTGCTTGGCCGAATGTTATTCACACACACACACACACTTCAGTGGAAACTGCATGCAGCTGAGCAGCTCACATTCGGAGCATCAACACAGAAAGGAACAGGAAGGAAGCAACACAAATATTTTGACTGAAGTGTCTTAGGAAAGCGATTTTAAATCATGGGCACCTAGGTTCTGAAAATGATGTTGCCCGTATTGGTGTGAGTGATGGGGTCCCATGGCACAAATTTCATGTAATCCCAGTGCAAAGGAAAAGAGCTAAGATCTTCTCCCTTACTATAATGTCCAAACAGGATGGGATGGGGAAGAAGGATAGGTTTGTAAGGAGTCTTCAATAATTTTGCCAAGGCAATTCTTATTGTTCAGGGCCTCATGCTATTAGCCTTTCTTGTACATGGAGATCCTTTATGAAATGCATTCAGGACCATCAAACAAATCTGTACTGAGATACACACATCACCAATTTTTACTGCTAGAACTGCTCTGAATCTGACTTCAGGAAGAACGTGTTTTTAACTGCACAGTGTCCTGGAATAGACACTCTGCATTGGGAAAGAAGGGAACTGAGTTCCCTCCCATTTTCCACTTTCCTGATGTTCCAAATGACCAGTACCTTGGAGTTATGATTTGTGTTGTTGTCAGGATTCTAACTGTAACTGTAACTGACCTAAGAATTCTGCAGAGCAGTTGCTGCTGTGGCTGGCCGGCTGCTCAGGCGAACGTCAGCTCAGTGGCCAACAACTCAGTCTTCTTGAGGCTCAGGAGCACCTAGCAAATACCTGCTCTGTTCCTGGCACGCTAGACTCTAGCTGAGGAAGGCATTTCACGTAAGTTTATGGATTAAGCATTCCTCACTATGCCATCAGCTGAGTTTATGCTCGGTGGAACAGGATAGCTGCAGTAGCAGATAGCAGGACAGCGAAACATGAGCGGCTCCCATCCACAACAGGTTGCTGAGGTTCTGGCCATTTCCACAGCAACAGTGAAAGAGTATATTAAATCAGTAGCAGTTTGCTGGAAGAAAGTATGTGTGGATCAGATGTCTATACCTAACCGGGGGGGGGGGGGGGAGAGCAGGGGAACTCTTTCTTTTGCTGCTTCTTTCTGTGCATGGAAGGATGTCCTTCAATGACTAGACATGCTTGTTATTCCCTCTCTCACTGCATCTTGTCTTCTCTTTTGTTTCCAGGATGTCTTCCAAGGTCTCCCCTGCTCCCCTCCTCTCCAAACCCCCCCTGCGGGTGAAAGAAGGCTCCCTGGTAGTCAGATGGCTGAGATTAGTGTCCTGCTTCCAATTGTGTGCATTCCTGATGGATATTATGGCCTGGATGATGTGCATTGCCTCAATAGCCATTGTCAAATGGCGAGTGTGGCGTGTAGAAAACATAAAGGGAATTGGCTCTGGAAACATCTGGATCGGAATCTGGCAGGTCTGTTTTTTGAAAGACCCTTCAAACGACGGAAACTATTATTACCATTGTGAAGAGCTCCATGAACAACATCCAAACCTCCCGAGGGAAATTTTTATTGCTCAGGACCTAATGGCCTTAGCTGCCATTATGAATTCAGCGGCCCTTGGAATACAGTCATTTGCCCTCTGCAATGTGTTCGAGCCCAGAAAACATAAGGATTTTCTCTCAACCTTTTTTGGGCTTGGAGCTCTGCTGAACTTACCAGCAGGGATACTCATCCTGATTTCCGTGATATGGAACATGTCTGCTGTCTTACAAAATGGGGGAATTGACTTCCCTGAAACTTTTGAATTGCCTCAAATTCCCAGCGAGCAGCATATTGGACCTTCTATTTATCTAGGCTATATCGCTGCAGGTTTCCAGCTGCTGAGTGCAGCATTTGTTGGGATGGAGAGATGTTGCATCAGGACCACCGCAACAGATACATCTCAAATAGAAACTGTAGTGGTGATTACCCCAGGAAGTGCGGTGAAAAGCGAGAGTCTTACTACTTGTTCAAAGTGTGGTTCTCTGCTGGACCTGGTAATTCAAGAGAAATCCTCCGCAGTGGAGATGGAGGAAACCCATGCGGAAGATCTTGTCAAATCCTGCGCAGTTGAGATGGAGGAAGGCTGTGCAAGTGATCTTGTCATTCCAGAGGAATCCTGCACAGTTGAGATGGAGGAAAGCTGTGCAAGTGATCTTGTCATTCCAGAGGAATCCTGCATAGTTGAAATGGAGGAAAGCTGTGCAAGTGATCTTGTCATTCCAGAGGAATCCTGCACAGTTGAGATGGAGGAAAGCTGTGCAAGTGATCTTGTCATTCCAGAGGAATCCTGCGCAGTGGAGATGGAGGAAAGCCATACACCCAAAGGTTACCTGAAGGACATCAAAGGCCACCTGATGTCCCCAAACATACGATTATACATGTGATTCCCTACAACAGGGAGTCGTAAACTATCAGATGCAGATCCACACAGATCTCTCCATACACGCATAGATCTGCGTGGATCAGGACTTCAGGGATTTTGGGACTTCAGGTGGGCTTTGATGTCCTTCAGGTGAGGAGGCCTCTTTTTTGTGATATATTTTTTTTAAGTATTTATTTATTTATTAAAGATTTTGTTGATTTACAAAAGTGTGCAATGTCTCTCTCTCATGTTTTCCCCCCATGTAACATTTTTACAAATAATTTTCATTTGTTGAGACATTAGGAAGGAAAGGGGAAAGAGGTGGAGGGGGGGGGAAAAGATGGGTGGGGTCGGGTGGCCTAGGGTGTGGTTATTCATTTGTAGTTGGCTGTGGTGGTCTTTGTTTTCATGTGTGAGTGGGTGTTTTGGATCAGCAACAAATCTACTTATTCCAAGACCTTAACTCTGCATAGAAAGGAAACAGGGGTGGGCTGTCTAAAATAATTGTGCCCAGAAAAGGGTGGTGGTGGACAGGAGAGGTTTAGGGGGGAGAGAGTGACCCCTCCCTTCCTCCAGCTTAATCTGCAGCTAAATTTGATGTGAAATGTGCTTTTCTTAAAAAAACAAAAAGCCAGCCACAGGGACAGTCTAAGGAACAATATTGTTGGGAGGAGTGGGGAGATAGCTCCATTAGAGGTTCCACACTGTTAAGGAAAATTCTGGGTTGAGAAACTACTCAACAGCCCAGCTTGTCAGGGTACAGGTCCCCCCCCCCCGCAGGTCCATGTGGTCAGTAAAAGAAGGAAATTCCAGCAAGCAAGCAATTTGGAGCAAAGCAGCAGTCAGTAGCCTCAGAGCCTTTATTGTTGCGCAACAGGTTCAACAGCAGCCAGTGAACCCAGAGCATGGGGCCACATTGACTTTGAAAACTTTCCCACCATATGTCAGAATACAGTTTGCACAGCATCACCAATACATCCTTGCTACATCACTAACGTCACAAAAGGGGAGGGTTACACAAGATGAGCAGAGGCAGCTATGGAGAGCACGAGGCTGGAATGTCAGGATGAGGAAGGCAAGGAGGAGGATTTCCAAGACCATGAGGATCAAAGACTGAGGGGGAAGTGTCTGGATGATATTGTGGAGCCAGACTGGCAGGATGACAGAGTGGAGAGGCTAAGGGAGAAGTGGGGAAATGCCGTAGGTGGGAACTTCAGGCAGAAGCACACCAGCGAGGGCAAAGCTGGCTGGCTGTGCAACACTTAACTTGACAGGAGATAACTACTCCTCGTATCATGGTAATCTTCCATGGGAGGACGAGATTCCACTCTCTGAGCAAAATCTGTCCCAAAATAAGAGTGGGGAGTGTAGGGCCATAGCAACCCTCCCCCCAAAGGCCTTTCTGAGAAAGGAGAAGTCTGTCAGGAGAACAAGGCTGGCATTGATGGAACAGGCTCAAATGTTTATTATTCAAGGTTGTAAAGAGATAAGCAAACTCAGGAGTGCACATGGCCGTGGTGGGCCATGGCAGGAAAGAGGGAGGCAAGACATGGTAATAGGAACTTACTATAACTTTCGATTTTCCAGAAATCAGGTGGTTTACAAGAAATCAGGTGGCATTGTATTCTGCAAACGTATAAAAAGCTGGCTCGCTTAGAATTCGGGGCCAGACTCCGAGCATGAGCTGGTCTGTGTCTTTGTGTCCAAGCAATTGCTTCACAAAATAAAAAATCCTTTTTCCTGCTGTCGTTTGACTCTGGCAGTCTCAAAGCGGCTAACATTCTCCTTTCCCTTCCTCCCCCACAACAAACACTCTGTGAGGTGAGTGGGGCTGAGAGACTTCAGAGAAGTGTGACCAGCCCAAGGTCACCCAGCAGCTGCCTGTGGAGGAGCGGAGACGCGAACCCGGTTCCCCAGATTACGAGACTACCGCTCTTAACCACTACACCACACTGGCTCTCAGTGCCCCTTGCTCAGCCTCTACATCTCCCCCGTGAGTTACCACAACCCTCTGGGGTAGATTTAGGGGTGTGTGGTGGGCACATGTGAATAGGAGAGGCTGGGTAAATTACATAGCACAGCTAAAAGTTGTTGTGCTAGCACAACTCCATAGTTGAATACCATCCATTGTTTCCTTGACAACAGGTTTCCTATTAAAAGCACATTGCTAATAAGACTATTGGATGTCAAGTTGCCATAAAATTTCGAACGTGTTGCAGGTTGCAGACCTGGAGAATGAGACTTGAATGCGTAAGCGTGGCTATACTTAGCTGATGATGGACAACGTTTTTAAAACAGTGCACAAATCTGGTAAACAGAACTTTTGAGACGTCATCTGTCGATTAACTCTTAAGGTCATATAGAGAACAAATCATTATATTATGAACAATTAAGAACAACATCTAAAGCAAAATATATTATTGGGATTCCCCCTCATCCTTTTCTGTTTCTGAAAGTGTCAGATGACCTTAGATGGGATACATTTCTATAAATAAGTGTTATTCTCTGGCTAATAATGCATTTCATATACAGAACATTCTGAAGGCTGGATCTGGAATTGTCAGCCTCATGGGGCCTCTGCATCATTGCATGACCCAAGGCAACAAATTGTGTTTTCAGCATTAACACACGCAATTGCATTGTCAATCACTTCAAGCTGCAGGTGGGGAATCGTTAGACATCAAATATTAAAATTTGCCATAATGGGAGATAGTGGAGCTCAGCCTTATAAATGCACCTCAAATGGAGCTCAGCCTTATAAATGCACCTGTAAACTGAACCCACACACTGCAGGCTTGGAAGAGTCTTCCACAATGTGTAAAAGGGAGGAGGAAACCTCCAGCTACGATCCTTTGAATGGGATGGAATAAGGGTTTTGCAAGCATGCCCTTATTTCCATTTGTGAAATGTTAAGGGTGTGTGTGTTACAGCAGTGGTGGACCCTGGGGTCTCAAATTTCAATGACACCTGGTGTGATGTCAAAATTCAGCACCACTCACCTCTCACCTTTGGGACGTGGGTGGCGCTGTGGGTTAAACCACAGAGCCTAGGACTTGCCAATCGAAAGGTCGGCGGTTCGAATCCCCACAACGGGGTGAGCTCCCATTGCTCGGTCCCTGCTCCTGCCAACCTAGCAGTTCGAAAGCACGTCAAAGTGCAAGAAGATAAATAGGTACCGCTCCGGTGGGAAGGTAAGCAGCATTTCCGTGCACTGCTCTGGTTTGCCAGAAGTGGCTTAGTCATGCTGGCCACATGACCCAGAAGCTGTACGCCGGCTCCCTCGGCCAATAAAGCGAGATGAGACCACAACCCCAGAGTCGGTCACGACTGGATCTAACGGTCAGGGGTCCCTCTACTTTACCTTACACCTCTCACCTTACATTCTACATCGTAGTTGCAGTGCCCTCTGATGTGTCCCAAGGCTACTGTGCCCAGGACAACTGAACTGGTCACAGTCCCCTAATTCTGCATCTGGTTAAAGCTCATCACTAGCAAATGGGGTGCAATCTACTTACCCTTAAAGTGTCTTTTAAAAGTCTCCCCAATTTTGCATGGGAGAGAGGTAAGCACTTGCCTAAGTCTCAGATTGAAATCAAGGAGACCTAATGCACTTGGCTTGAACTGGATCATGGCCTCAATTTGTTTACCCAGGCTGCTGAGGGGGTTTCCCATCACCCTTGTATTTCCTGCAGCTTTCCACCAGCAGGTCAATTAGCAAAGGATCTATTGATCCACAGTCTTTTGAAATGCCCTCTTGAACAAGGGATCTTCCTATGCAGGCAGCCTTGAGAAAGGAGCAGTGCCGCCCGTCACACTCGCAGGCACGGTCGCCTCTCCAATTGCTGGAGCTTTGATTGACTTCAAGAGTAATTTTGGCTGATAGAAAGCACAGAAGGAGCTAAAAGCCCAGAACAAAGACCCCTGACTCAATTATTTCAGGGAAAGGAGAGGAAAGGCTCAAATGAAAGCCCTTTAAAGCCTAGTTCAGATGAATGGGAAATAATTGAGCATCCTCTTGCTGCTGCGTCTTTTCTTCAGTGGAGCAGGAGTGTGCTGGGCCTGGGGGTAACTCGTGAAATGTGGTCCAGGACCGCTCCAGAATCCTAAGGTTCTGCTAGGAGTCAGTCTGACAGGGCCAAGGCAGGACACGAGGCAGGAAACCAGCCAAGGACAGGTGCAGGATCTAGCATACAGCAATGTTGCTCCCGCAACCTGGGGCGGGGTCCAACAGCTTTTTATCTTTGTCGGGGTGATGGCCGGTCCTGATCCCCCGGCGACTCACCTCCCTGTTTCGCCTGAAGGCGAGCACTCCTCCTGTGAGTACTCAGGTCTCTCCTTCTCTCAGACCTTAGTCTCTGCATCTTGGGAGACGTCGGTGGGTTACTAGACCCAGGGGCCGCCTCAGTCTCCCCTGACCCAACCGGTAGTGGAGCAGCTGTAAGTGATGGCCCAGCTGAAGGCAATGAGGTAATCCCTGTGTTCATGGAAGACAATCTTACTTGGCTATGAGTGATCGCTGAAGAAGAAGAAGATGTTTGGCTATTATTGGATGGGAGGTAGTGGCTACTGGTTTTTTCTCAGTATTGGACACATTGTCCAGCTTGTGCCATTGAAGTACAACAGATTAAAAGCATTTCAAAGCAAACAGCAGAGGAGTTGACTTTGTTTTGTTTTCTTTAGGTTGCCTGATTGTTCCTGTTCTTTCACTTTAAAGCATCTCATTAGCTTTCAAAGAAGACGAAAGAGCATTGTTTTTCTCTCATCCTATCCCAAGTCATCGTTGTTGTAACTGAAGCCGTTCATTTCAGATCAGTGGCGGCTTAAACCGCTTGAACTTATGCCCAGTATCAGAACAATAGCACCTATTAATTCTGTAAGACAGTGATATTCTTGCAAACAATTTGAGTATTTAATTTTTTGAGAAGCACTTCGTCTTGGGGAAGCCAAGCGACGCAAGGGGCGTCATGTCACACCACATTTCAATCTTTCCCCACGATCTGCATTTCTAATAAACGGGTTTCAATCTGCAGGAGGTAATGAATGCAAGGACAAGGGAGTTGCCAGAGAGGTGCAGACAATTCCACAACTGACAGGCAATTTACACAACGAGGCATATCCAGAAAGCAAGGCACGAACTGAGATGAACTACTAAATGGGATCCCTCCCCCCCTCCTTTTTTTTTTGTCACTGGGATGGGGAAACAGATCAAAGAAACGATAAAGTAGGGGGAGAAAATCAGAGATAATGATGGTAATTTGTTTCTTTATTCTGAGATAATTGATCCACGCTGAAGAAATAATTACGGTGCATTAAAGAAATTAAGGGGAAGACAAAGGGAAAGCTGCCGAGTGAAGACAAGTTTGCGTTGAGATACTGTAATTATGACATTTGGGAAGCCATAATATTTTGATGTCGGCCTTTCAACTTAGAGGATGCAGGAGTAGCAGAGCAGCTGCTTCAGAACAACTGGTATACATCCATCCTCAGCTTCTTGCCATCTCCCCATACCTGTCTCTTTCAGTCTGCAGCAAGAGCTCTTCGCTGCTAGACATAAGGAAGTTAAAATGGCATGACAGTCCATTTAGTCACTGAAGGAAAGCACCACGGCTTTGGTCAGCTCAGTAAGACGGCCAGTTGCGCCTCTGGGTAGATGACTAATCTACTGACCGGACTTCTCAGCTGCAGAATCAATGCTTGCTTCATGCATCTAAACTACAGTCTTGTTTCTTGCTTCTAAGCTACAGTCTTGTTGTAGAATCAGAGCAGCAGGGGAAAGCTCCTGAAGAAACAACAACCCCCCAAAATGATTCACCAAGAGGAGTAAGATGTCTATGCATGTAACGGCAGCAGCTAGGATTTTCTGTGCACAAAAATAGAAGGAAGGAAAAAGTTCCCACCAAAGAAGAATGGATAAGTAAACCTAATGATTATTGTTTTGTAGAAGAATCTAAGGCTTTTTCAGACTATTTAAGAATAAATAAATTATAGTATGGTGAATTCATGAGCAGGATTTGAACTATGAGCAACGGAAGGAATTAAAAATTACTGCATTGTTGTTTTAAGGGAGAGAAGATTAGATGCAGCAAGGGGGGGTTAAAAAACACACACCATGGGAAGCCAATAAAACAAAAGAAAAAATACGTATTGGAGGGTATGTGTGAAATTTTTGAAAAAAAATATAAATAATAATGATTGTTGTTGTTTAGTCGTTTAGTCGTGTCCAACTCTTCGTGACCCCCTGGACCAGAGCATGCCAGGCACTCCGGTCTTCCACTGCCTCCCGCAGTTTGGTCAAACTCATGCTGGTAGCTTCGAGAACACTGTCCAACCATCTGGTCCTCCGTCGTCCCCTTCTCCTTGTGCCCTCCATCTTTCACAACATCAGGGTCTTTTCCAGGGAGTCTTCTCTTCTCATGAGGTGGCCAAAGTATTGGAGCCTCAGCTTCAGGGTCTGTCCTTCCAGTGAGCACTCAGGGCTGATTTCCTTAAGAATGGAGAGGTTTGATCTTCTTGCAGTCCATGGGACTCTCAGGAGTCTCCTCCAGCACCATAATTCAAAAGCATAAATTCTTCGGCGATCAGCCTTCTTTATGGTCCAGCTCTCACTTCCATACACCACTGTTGGGATCCCCTTCATGGGTCACTGCCTTGCAGTGGCGAAGGGGCTTGAATAACTCAGAGAAGCTATGAGCTATGCCGTGCAGGGCCACCCAAGATGGACAGGTCATAGTGGAGAGTTTTGACCAAACGTGATCCACCTGGAGCAGGAACCGGCAAGCTACTCCAATATCCCTGCCAAGAAAACTCCATGGACAAAGACAACAGGTATAATAATGATAAAACCTCTCAAAAAGGATTCATAAGAACCCCAGAAGAGCCCTGCTGGATCAAATCAAAGACCTATCTTGTTGAGCAACCTGTTCTCATGGGAGCCAGTTAGATGTTTATGGAAATCCTGGACAAATTCATAGAGGAGAAGTCTATCAATGGTTACTATTCGTGATTGCTCTGCTCTGCCTCCATAGCTGGAGGTAGTAATGCTTCTGAACTCCAGTTGCTGGAAACTACAAAAAGGGAGAGGGCTCTTGGGTTTGGGTCTTGCTTGCACGTTTCCTATGAGCATCTAGTTGGCCACTGTGAGAACAGGATGCTGGACTAGAGAGGTCATTGGCTTGATTCTTGAGTTCTTACCCTTTTCTCACAGGAGGGATGCTCCAGCCACTTGATCACTATGATCTCTGGGGTTCACTTCCAGCTGGATCTTGGAGAACGATCCCCAAGCATTTGTGCTCTGATGCATTGTTTTCTTGAAGGTTCTGGAAGGCAACTCATAGCCGATTGCATCCCAAAAGTAACTTTTTTTATTGTGCGACGGTCAGAGCTTTGCTAAAGAGGCCACAGTGTGTGTGTGTGTGTGTGTGTGTCTGTGTGTTTGTGTGTGTATGAATGAAATAGAATTGTCTGTCATTCAGCCTGTGCTTCATATTATCTGATGGTAATTCACAATGCAGTGATATTTTTGCTTTCCTCACCAGCAATGACATGCCACCGATCAAATACAGGAAAGCATTGTCACATTAATTCCTGTCATTGGCTTTAATACACACCCCTCTGTGATTGTCTTCGATCCATAAAACTTAAATTCATATGTCGAATGCTACTCAGCAGTTTTGAGAGAGGCAAGCAAAATGGTTTGTTTGGATGATGGAACGGGTGCAGAATACATAACAAATGATGGGACCTCATCTGAGAAAGTCCCTGTGCACGTTAGTGCATGCATGATAATAGCACATCCTTGCAGGCCTCATGCTACATCTGATTTCCTGCTATCCTTCCTCTGAGTACTTGGACCGCAGCAATCTCATTCAGGTTGCTGAATTTCGGGTTTGGCATCCCAATGCGACACGAAGCAGGTGACATGCTAAGGGTCGTGGCTCAGTGCTAGAGCATGTCAGGGACCGTGCTGAGGAGGGCTGCACTGAGGAGGAATAATGGGAGCCTCCTCCTCCCCCTGCTCCGGATCCTGAAGGACAGTATAGATTTGGAACACTGGTTTGCAGAAGGACGTAGTTCAGAAGGCAGAAGCTGGGAAATACTGGATGGGGAACAGCCAGGAGAAGAAGCACTGGGAGAGAGAGTTAACAGATTCACTTTCTCTGGAAAGCATTCATCCGCTCTCCCCAGGGTCAAGAAGAGCTGAGAAAGTGGCAGCACAGAAAGCTCAGGTTACAAGATACAGTAGTGACGTGGGTGACTAGGGAGGAAGTGGGTGGAACCCTTAATTGGGAGCACCGTCATTCCTAGGAAATGGATTCTTTGTTCTCTTGCTGTGATCATTAAAGACTCTAACTGGTAAGAAAACTCCCTTTCCTTTGTTCTGCTTATCTACTGCCAATGGAGGTAGGATGTTGATTCCCTGAAGCCTGATAGAGCATCTGTTTTGCATGCGGAAGGTCACAGGTTCAACCCCTGCATCTCCCAGTAGAACTGGGAGAGAACCCTGTCTGAAATACTCTGCCGGCCAGTTCTATAGATGGACCAGTTGTCTGACTCTGAACAAGACCCATAGGTGGTATTCTACCAATGAGCCCTGTCAGTGCAAGGATGTCTGTTTATAGAATTAGGACTTTCCCTTCTCCCTTCCCCCCTGTGCACACAATGAACCTTTCCCAAATCTGCTCCAGAGCGTTAGGGGCCTCCTAGAACATATCTAACAACAATTACAATAGTAATTTTATTATTTGTAACCCGCTCATCTGATTGAGTTGTCCCAGCCATTCTAACTGGCTCCCAACAAAATATTAAAAACACAAGATAACATCAACCATTAAAAACGTCCCTGAACAGGACTCCCTTCAGGTGTCTTCTAAAGGTTGTATAGTTACTTATCTCCTTGACATCTGACCAGGAGGGGGGGCGTACCACAGGGAGGGTGCCACTACCGAAAAGGCCCTTTGGCTGGTTCCCTGCATCTTCATGTCTCTCAGTGAGGGAACCGCCAGTAGGCCCTCGGAGCTGGACCTCAGTGTCTGGGCTGGATGGTGGGGGTGGACATGCTCCTTCAGGTATACAGATGATGTTCAAGGACCTCTGTGTGGGTCATTGGTTTAACTAAGGATGAGTTTTCAAGCTCAAACGAGCCTCACATTGGACTTATCTTTCTCCCTGTTCAGTTAAGTGAGGCTACAGTTTTTAATGTAGTATAATGCAAAATTACCATTCATACCTTCAAAGCAACAACTCAAAGACATGCTTTACCAGCTATTGAAACAGCTCATTGGATGACGAACCTGGGATATATCTGCATAATTCTCCTGCACATATGAGCAAACGGTCTTCTAAGTAATTTAATGCTTCATCTCCTGCGTTATGGTCCCTTTCCTCACCTTTGAATGAAGGGTGAGCAAAAGGAGGAAAAGGGAAGGAAAGGAAGGAAATTTAGAGCTGTCATTTCTTTAGCCTTACAAGACTAGCTTATGGTTTCACCGAACTTCTCTTGGGGAGGAAGACATCGCGAGATTTTTCTCTGTTGGTCTAAATCCCCCCACTCTGCTTTTGGTAGTTGCAGACACAAAGCAGCTAATTTGCTATGGAAATTGTCTTCTTCCCCTTACCTGATTGTCATCACAGATCAGATGCTTATAAATTGGAAAATTAAATCAAGACTGAACACATCCCTTTGTGTTTTGGAGGGGCATAAGGGACCCCCAAGAAAAACAAAAAATGGTTCTAGCAGATTGTCAGATTGTCAGAACAGATACCGTATTTTTCTGTGTATAACATGCCCCCGTGTATAAGACACCCCCTATTTCTGGGGACTCAGAATTAAGAAAACGGGGGGGAGATTGTATAAGACATTAACATTTTAAAATTATTTTTTAGTAAAAAAAAAGACCTAGTCTTATACATGGAAAAGTAAGGTATTTCATGTGCATTAATTCAAATACATACGTTTCTTTTTTAGAACCTTGGTCAGAAGGAAGCAGGGGCAGGAATGATAAGAAGCAAACAAGAATACAAAGCCATTTGACAACACAGGGAAGAAGACCGTACAGTGATGGTCCTTTGCGAGGCAAGTAGGGTGATGTGGTTTAGTGATATCACAGATCTCCTTGGGTAGCTGACTTGTCTGAGTCCCTCTGAATATTCTGA